ACGTTTGAAGGTTTCAGAAAAAAACAAGCTGCGAAGTCTCAGGAACCTACTCAAGAAATCATGGAACCTGAAATAGAAAAACCGTCAATTGACGAAATCAATATTTCGAAAAAAAATAAAAAATCGAAATATCAAGATAAAACGTTTAAACGTAAAAAAATATGAATTGACGAGGAGGCAAATCACAAGAAACTTTTGTGATTTTTTTTTTTTACGTTTCTTATTATAGATTTCTATTGTTGAATTTGTTGTAAATATTTTTATTTTATTATATTATAAATAATAATAAACAATATTTTGGGCAGTTTTATTTTTTTTTTTTTTTTTTTTTTTTTTAAAGTGCGGTAGTTTCGCTAAATCTTTATTATGATAAAAGTAAACTATTTATACATTTATAGTGGGCAGTTTTAATTCAAAATTTATTGTAAAATTCGTGTAACCTTATCGACCAATCACATGAAAGTCTTCCTAAATCACCGATTTTAGTATTATTAATAAGGCAATTATTTTTTTAAAAAAAAAGTTGTTAATTTTCACTTAGTCTGCGTATAGGACCGACAACTTTCCTAAAGAACAAGAAAAATTCACTTTGTATATTAAAGAACAAGGAAAAATTAATTTTCACTTATTCTGTCAAAGAACAAGAAAATTAGACTGTCTAAAAGAACAAGAAAATTTAGTCCGTCTAAAAGATCGATATTCTTCAAAGCATTCCTTCACTGATGCAAACGTCACTTGGGATCCTGTACCAAATGATTGTGATATTAGTGAGTCATCCAATTCAAGTGATAATTATTATTTGCCGGGTAAAAAATGGTTTTTCTAAAAAGTACAATAGAATTATCTAAAAGAACAAGAAAATTTAGTCTATCTAAAGGACAAGAAAATTGTTCTGTCTAAAAGAACAAGAAAATTAGATTGTCTAAAAAAAATGTACCTTTTGTTCGGTTTTTGGTCATTCGCTTGGGAAGAGGCAACCTTTACAGTCTCAGGCTTTTTGGAATAGCATTCTTGCCACCATAAAAGAGGATCAGATTCTTCATCAATGGGTAATGAAAGATAGCGATCTAATTCCGGTTGAGTTACCTTATTTTGATAGATTTGGGAAGAAGGAAAAGCATCAAATCAGATATTAAGATTTCGAATGCGTGAATTCTGAAGCGTCAAAAGCGTTAAAATATTTCATCATCGCCAAACTGGACCAGTTTGATTAATTAATTATCCAAGTTTTTTGGGGGTGGGGTAGAATAATAAGATAAGGTTTATTTTACATTTTGGTGTAGGTTTTTACGGGACAGTTTGGACATTTGGACATATTAGGAAACATAATAGGAATGAGCTTGGAAAACTTGATTCATTTAGGAAGGGAATACATAGTGCGTGTATTTATACGATTATAAAGTAGTTCTTTAATCGCTTTATTTATCTACAAATTAATCAACAACAATACATCAACTTTACATCATCAACATTACCTCCACCCGTCATCAACTTCACATCAAATCAACCTCATCACCCATCATCAACGACCATTTCGGGATTTTTTTTTATGATAACTTTTTTTAGAAATGTAACAATCAATTTATGATATATCTAAAAACCTGCAATAAAACTTTATTTTATTTTATTTTAACTCGCCTATTGCAGTACTTTTCTTTTGACCGTTATTTTATTAAATTTTTAATAAAAATAAATTAAACAACTTAATTACATTAAAACTTTAGTACATTAGCCATTGTTAATTACATTATTTAAACAACTTTCTATATTAGTGTTTCAATCCAGGATCCAATTTATTAAAAAGCAAGATGAGTTGGACAAAAGGGGTAAATGCTTTTTTCATAAAGTGAGATTTAATTTTTTTGAAGACCACAAATCACGTGGATTCTTATGAATAATTGAAATATTATTATACCCATTTCTATCTGGCATAAATCACTAAGAACTGTGTCATGAATCTTATTGCTAAACCAATCCTTCCTTACTCAAGTGCGCTAAATGTTTTTCTCCTACATGGATTGATCTACATTTTTTCGCATGAAACTTTACTCTCTAATATAATCTTAAGTCTCAGCCAATCCACAAGCTATAACTAATACCACATAAAGAAATGATGAAGAAACAAAATAAGAACCATCTCTCCGTATCGGTTTTGTTCCATACACATTTATAATTTTGGTATTTGGTACAAGATGCTAAAGACGGTTACAGTCACGCTTGCTTAAATATCAAAAAGCATTTCGAAGTGAAGGTATCGGAATGCTAACATTATTAGATAACAATTGACACAATCATTATTAATTAGAATTAAATCAGAAATTTTCAAAACAAATGAAAAAAAAAAATGTTCTACCAGGTGATGGATGAATTATTGTTTCTTCATTTTCAGCCATCCAAGTAGCCAATCTCTCCGAGAAGCCTTCCTCCACGTAATCAAATTTCATGTTTCAGTCAATGAAGATATTGATATTTCCAGAATTTTATCGTGCTAAATTAGATCATAAGCAATTTTAACATTGTAAACTTTTCCTTATCAGAATGTCAAACTCCATCCATGTAGAATGATGTGTTAGTAAAGAATAATGTCATATAACCTCTATGATAAAAGAACAGCAAAAGGAAAATATAATTATTTTATTTACCATTCGAAGTTACAGTACTTCTAATGATTACACCAGCATCCATAGCAGGGCAATCTCGAACTGAATCTAGCACATTTCCACCACCTTTAATACCTCCCCAAAATCCATCGTCTAAAAATTTCTCATGGAGGAGTTTCTCGAATAATTTTAAATTTCTTGGATATGCAAGTATAATAGATGTTTTACGATCCGGTAAATATGCAGGATCTTATATAAAGCCATTTTGATAATGATTCGTAAAAGGTTCAGGAACCATGATAGAAGTACTTTTAACGATACGTCGACACAATATCCATTACCCATGAAGGATTGCCAACCTAACACCAAATCCAAATTCAGTTGCAAATTTTAAGTCTTTAAATGTCTAGTGTTATATATTTGATGCAGAATTAGCAATGTATAATCTCGCAAAGATTTCATTATATGACCTTTTCAACGTGATAGAATATAAACCCATGAAGGATTCGACGAGAAAATCAACATATCACCCTAAATAATCTCAATTAGGTAAATTAGTAAACCCTTCCGAGTTTCATAAAAAAATTTGTAAAACGTGTATCGTTAAACAAATTTCTAAGCCACAGGCCATTCAATCTCCTAATTCAAGAATTCAAAAATCGCGCACAACTGAACTTTCGCGAAAATCGAATGTTATCGATGAACTTTTATTTGTATTTGGTTATCGAGCAAATAAAATGTTGCAAGCTAATTTATCAGAACTTATTCATTCATCACAGTGCTGTGAAAATCCAGTGCTGGTACTAATAAAGTTTTTAATTTCCAAAAAAAAATAAATAAATTAATAATACATGATGTTCAAAATATTATAGCCTAGTTCGGATAATTATGAGATTCTACCACAATCTCAATTAATTGATTATTTCGCGTCAAACTTTCGCAATAATGCAAGCATTGCAAAGCAATTACAAGTCTTTTGAAAGAAGGGGGATCTATTTGGATCATAACGATTTCTAATTTGGTTCTATTTTTATTTATTTATTTATTTTTATGTTTTCATCATGCGGTAATGATTAATGTATTGACATCTTAAATTTTTATGCTTAAATTAATGATTAAGGAGAAGTTGAATTAACATCACTGATGCGCCAAATGAGCATGAAGATGGATTCTTAGAATATATTGAATACATCATCGGACTTCTAAATATAAAGTCCCTTTTAAGAAACAAATGAAAAGGTTGAAACATTGGATGAAGAACGATCAGGAAATTAACAAAGTTTAGAGGTAACATATTAGAAGCAGAAGATTTTCTCCGAGATGAAAACACGTTAGCTTTAAAGCAGTCAATCCTTTAAAAAAAATTGCTAGAGTATAAGATTAATACTGAAATATCAACTAAGGCTGTGTGTGGTAAGTCATTGGACTTAATAACTTATTCAGACACGTTAATTTTAATATGACAGTTAATTTATTTATTAATTCTTAGTATAATCAGATAAAACAAGATAACAAAGTTCTTGAAGATATATACAGAGATTCTGTTAATGTATTTCAGGTAAAATAATTATAATAATTTACATATAAATAAATTTCATTAACTTAAATTATTGTATTTATTTTAATAAGCAACGTGAAAAAGTAGCAAAGTAGAATTGGCAAATTATGAAAAAGTATATATTAACCTGGAAGAAAGAAAGAAACACGCAATTTCTAAGCAGAAGAAACTGACAATGAAAATTCCTACAGTAGGTTTTATTTATTTATGTTATTTTGATGCATAGATATACTTGGAAATACAATAAGGCTTTTATTATAGGATCGTCATGGACTTCGGAAGCGAAAACGGCATTACGATTTAATGAACAGGATTTGAATGATCGAATGAAAGAAATGGTGGGCTTGGAAATATAAGAAATTGAACTTGCAAAAATCAGGGAAAGCTTAAAGGGTATGTGAATCGATTTTTTAATCTAATTGTGTAAATACCTTTTTTATATTGTAACTGAATTTAATTTAAATAAAGGCAAGTCAGAAGCTTATTCAAAACTGAAGAAAAGAAAAGAGAACTTGTACCTAGAAAATCAACAATCACTTATTGATGTCAACCAATCCGAGTATAACATTTTAAAGAGAAAGTTGATTCAATAAAACAAGATCTTAAACAAACAGAAGAAGATACTGTTACGATTAAAGAATCATGTCGGAAAAAGGTATTGTTATAAGGCATCATTGATGGATTTAATTATAATTGAACTGCTTCTTTAGAAACAAGAAATCTCATTTATAAAGAATCAAATTAAAGTATTAATTCAATAATTAGACACTGATCTAAAGGTTATTTAAACTAATATATTAAGTATTTTAAGATTCTCATAAATATCTTTTATTACTTTTAGCATTACCTTAGTCAGAAAGAATATTTGTCTTGCCGATTCTCGAAGATGGCGCGAAAAAAATTTTCAGTCCAGAGGACAAGTTCTTAGCAGCTTGATAAAGCTCAAACATAGTGGTCGTATAAAAGAGTTATATGTAAGTTCGTCGGAGCAGAGCGTAAATTTGTTTTGCTAAAAATCTCATTTATTTTAATTGTTTTAATAGGATCTTTGGGCAACCTTGTTGTCATTGATGATAAATACAATGTCGCAATTCAACTGCCTGTCCTGCATCGAAACCACAAGTAGTTGATTCTATTGAGGTTGGATAAACTTGTATAGAATACCTTAAAAGAAAACGATTTAGGTTGCGCCCGATACAAACGCCAGAAAATGTTCCCCGTATTTTTGATCTTATTAAGTAAAAGATGACAGGTTTATTCCAGCATTTTATAGGTGTTACAAAACATCTTTGTTGCCCAAAATCTACAAAAAGCGAATAGGATCACATTTACTGATACTCGATATCGTGTAGTGACGTTAAGTGGTCAATTGGTTGACAAATCTGGCACTATGAGCGGCGGACGTTAACAAAGTGTTTAAAGAGGCCATGAATTCAAAATTTTCTTCTGACATAACATCCGAGACAATAGCGAAATGGGAAAAGATCGTAACCATTTTGAAATGCAGTGGAAAGAATTAAATGAAAACTTTAAACCTTTAGAACCTCAACTTCAAGAGAAAAGGATGAACTTCCTAAATAAGAATTCGAACTATCGAAATTAGAGATGGATGCGAATGCTTGCGCAAAACGTATTACATATACTGATAAAAGAGTAGCCGAGTGACGGTATACATATAATTATATTTACTAATAAATTGTTGTTAAGGATTAATATTATCTTTTTTATTTGATTTTTTGCCTATAAGGCAAAAAAAATAATCCAAATATAGATGATACCAGGCTATGGGACAACTTCGAATACAATTGATCATCTAACACATCGATTAGATAAATTGAAAAGACAACCTTCTAAATTGAAGAGAAGATTAAGATTTTGCAAAATAAATTTGAAAATTGAGGATATAAACTTCGAGCTCAAAAGTCTAAAATAGATTATGTTAAAGATCAACTTGTTTTAATAAATGAGCGAATTATCAAGTCTCAGTGGCCAAATCAAGGATAGGATTAAAATCGAAAATTCTCTATAGCAAAATGTGAAAGAGAATTAGAAGAATTAAATAATGAAATAGAAGAGCTTACAAAAGAAATTCAATAGAAAATCAAAGTTTCTCGTTCCATTCGTATTAAAGTCAATCAGTATTTATTCAGATTAATGTTTAATTATATCTGAATTTTTTTTTTTAAAAAAATATATCTATATAATATTTATTTACATTTTTCCTAATTATTATTTAGATATTGGAAAGTAAAAATGAAGTATTAAATGAGAGCAGATGAAAAAACTGAAATAATTAATCGGATTCGAACAATTGAGGTTTATATTTATATTTATTATTATTCTCTCAAATTTTTTTTCTATAACCAATCACACTATGTATTGTATTAGTTAAAATCATAACTCAGCTCGAAGATAGTGAGCGCAATTTGGTAGAAAATAAACAGAAAGAAATTCATTGGCGAAATTTTCTTAGCAAACTTACACTTCATGAGATTGGGTAAGCATGCTATGATATTTTTTAAAATATTCATTCTACCATTTATTTAATTGACCTTATAAATGGAGGTGATGAGGAGTAAGAATTTCAACATTTACACTAATGATGAGCTCGATGCAATGGACAAAGATACATTACAAGAAGAGATCGATGATCTTAAAGGTATTCTGATTTTTATAAAAAAATTTCTCCAGAGAAAATACAAAATGCCAATCCAAATCTAAGCTTTTGGAAGATTATCGTATTCGTGAGAAAGAGTATTTGTCACGTGTTAGAGATCTTGAAGAATTACTTCTAATCGTGATGAATGTAAAGAGGAATATGATATATTAAGAAAACAACGATTGGAAGAATTCATGCATGGTTCACTTTAATATCTTGGAATTTCAAAGAAATGTATCAGGTATCTAAATGGCAGCTTTTATCTCAACATATGTTACATAAAATATAAACAAGTTTTTTTATTTAGATGATTACTCTTGGAGAAAATTCTGAGTTTGAATTTTGCGACAGCTTGGATCCTTTTTCTGAAGGCATTATTTTTAGTGTTATGCCGCCGAAAAAGTGTTGGAATAATATTTCTGATGGAGAAAAGGTATTTCATATGTTTTTCAATGTCATTTAACTATACTTGACATGTAATGATATATCAAAATACAGACACTTGGTTCTTTGGCTTTGATATTTACTCTACACCATTTCAAACCTAACTTGTATGTTCTGGATGAAATTGATGCGTCAATCGTTGTCAACATTATTAAAGAACGTACTAAGTTTATCGTTATTAATTTATGTGATAAATGTTTGGATTAGCAGATCGTAGTGGGAATTTATAAAAGTCATGATTAGGTAAGATTCTTACGCGCAAAATAATATTTTTTATGAATAATTTACTTTAGACAAAATCTGTTACTATTGATTCGTATGAAATTCATAAAATTACATTAAGAAGATAAAGTATTTAGAAAATGAGTTTTTTTTTTTTATTAAACGGGGCGTAAAAATATCGATATAGTCCTGTTCTTTATTTTAGTTATTATATTCACGTCAAATATTGGTCTGATCAATAAATTATATCTATTAATTTAATTTTTTACCTGAATTAATATGCAAGGAAAATCAGGTTTTGGAAATTTTTAATCTAAATTAGACTTAATTTAATATATCAAAGATTAAAATTCAAAGAAATTTAAAAATTCAATCTTTTATATAATATTGTAAGGATAAAATCATTTTTATTATTGGATTAAGTATTTTATAATAAGAATTATAAACTACTTAAACTACTTTTTGTTAGTAAAGTAGATTGAATAATTTTATAATAAACTTTTAATCATTATTTTGTATAATCTCTATTAAAAAATTTTTAAAATATATATATATAATACATTTTGAAAAATCTTATTCTTTTAAATATTGATGATATTAAATCATAAAAATTATAAAATTTTAATCATGTTAATTTTTTCTATTTTATTTTATAATATTTCTAATTAATTAAATTGAAATTATTCATTTTATAAGAAAAATTTGATTAAAAATAAATTATTTAAATTTTCAACTTATTATTACTATTTAAGGTTATAAAATTATTATAATTTATTATAAGTTTAATAAATTACAAAATAAATTATATAAAAAATATTAAATATTGACATTTTGCAATAAAAAAAAGGAAACTACTAAAAAAAAATTTTTTTTTGAATTAATATTAAAATCTGAATTTATTTATAAAAAAAAATATTTAACTTATAAAGTAAAAAATTTTTTTTATAATTTTTTTCTTATTAGTTTTTATAATTAAATTTTATATTATTAATATTTTTATATTATTTTTAAAAAATTATTAATCTAATTTTAAAATTAAAATTATTTAAAATTAGTTTAATAATTAATTTAATAAAAACTTTAAAATATATTTTTATATTTTTTAATAAAATTAATTTTAAATATAATTAAAAATAAAAAATTGTTTTTGTATTTATTAAAATTCTTAAAATTTTTTAAAATATAAATTATTTAATATAATTTTTAATTTAAAGTATAAATTTATTAAAAATAAAATATAAATATCTTAAAAAATTAAAATTTTATTTCTATTACTACTAATAAATAATCTAATATTTATTATATTAGTATTATAAATTATTTGATTATTTAAATTAAAACTTACATTTTATAATTAAAAGTTTTTTTAATATAAATAAAGCAAATTATTAAAATATATAATATATACTAAAATTATTTAATTAGAAAATATTGTAATAGATATTAAATAAACTACTAAAAAATTAATAAAAAAAATTATAGCATAAATAACTAGAGTTATTTCTAATAAAAATAATTAATAAATAAAAGCTTAGTAATTTTACAATTTTTTTTTTAAAAAATTATATTTATATCAAAAATATTTTACTTTATTTATTTTTCAAATTTGTATTTTAATTAATTTAAAAAAATAAAAATAAAATATAAATTAAAATTTTAATCTATTAATAAAAATAGCATTATAATTAATTGCAATTGATGATAAACAGATTTAGAATTAATACAGTAATTAGTATAGTTAGTATATTATAATAATTAATATAAAATTAATACAAATTTAACATAAATACAATATTAATTTTATCTAATTTATACAAATTTCTCAATCTTAGTAATAAATAAGCATTATAGAATTATAACTAATATGACACTAATAAAAATAAAGTTATAATTATTACAATTACTTACAAATAAATATTATAGGATTGTAGTATCATTTTTATTTATTAGTTACTTTTAATTTAATTTTTTTAATATTTTATTTTTTAATATTTTTTTAAGTTAAATTTATATATATATATAATTTACAATTTTTTTATTAAACTATTTTTATTTTAGTATTTTTATTTAAATTACTTTTTTATAATTTTGATTTTTTAGTTAAAATATTTTAAAAATATAAATAAAATTTAGTAAAATAAATATTTATAAAATATTGATTTTTAATTTTTATTAATTTTAAATTAATTATTATATTTAGATTTAATTATTAATAAATTATAATTTACTATATAGTATCAAAATTAAGCACTTTTAATGATAAACATATTTTATTTATTAGTATAAAGCAAAGCAAAAAACTATACAGTCAATCCTTTTTATAATTACATATTACTATTACACTAATTATTAGACTAATATTATTAGTTAATATAATAAATTTTTCTTTATATTATCATATTATTATATGATAAAATATAGAAAATATAACTAAAAATATTATAACATTTTTATTTTCAGTTAATAGTACTTTAAAAAATATTTTCATAATATAATTTTCTTATTAATTAATTAAATTTAAATAGACTTAATTTATTAAAGATTTTTAAAAAACTTATTTATTAATAAAAATTTATATATAGTTTGAATTTAAAAAAAAAAATAATAATAAACTAAAAATATAATTGTTATTAATTTTTTTAATAAGTTAAATAAACTTTTATTTAGACAATAATATTTAATTATTATAATAAATCATGTGAAATTTAGCATCAAAAATTAGTAAATTTTATTAAATAAAATTAAATTTTTATATAAAACTAAAATTACAATCAACTCTTGATATAAAAAACTCTTGATATAACAAATTTTTTAAAATAAATATAATAAAAATACTCTTATTATAGCAAATTAACTAATCAAATCTCTTAAAATCTTCACTATAATCTTATAGCGAAGTTGAAGTCTAAGATATAAAAATATAAAGTTCTTTATAATAAGAGTTAACTATAACCAATTGTCCTACTCAATCTAATCAGTTTACCTTAAATTAATCCTAATTTTATATTTAAAAAAAAGTGAATATGAGAATTTAAAATTTTAAATAAACAAAAAAATAAAACAAAATAAAAAAATTAAGCTTACTATATCTGTCTAGAATCTAGAACTGAAAAACTAAAAGAAATATTTAAAAAAAGAAAGTAAATAAAAGATTAAAATAAAGTAAAAAAATGAATTTATTACCTTAAATCTAGTCAAGAACTTAAAAATCTAAAAAAATAATTATTAATTAATAACTAAGTAAAATAATAAATAAAATAAAGAAAGAAAATAAAAAAATGAACTTACTGTCTTAAATCTAGTTAAAAAGCCTAAAGACTTAAAAAAACAAAAAAATATAGTTATTAATCAACAAAAAATGAAATGAAGTATAAAAAGAAAATAAATTTATCATCTTGAATTTAGCTAAAATATCTAAAGATTTAAAATAAATGATTATTAATTTTTTTTTATTTATGCAGTATCTAATAAATCCAATTAGCCTTAATAGTAAAGAAATATTATGCACAAGTCATAAAAACTTTACTATTTACTGACTTATAACTAGAAAAATCTTGACAGATCCAATAATTTAAGCATAATCCCATCAATAATACTGGTCTAAGGAATGCTACTCAGAGTGACCCTCTAAGAGTATAGTTTTTTAAGGTTACTGGATTTTAGAATCACTGTCAAATTTGAATAGAAGGATCACTTTTAACCATAGATACTTTTAGTCAATTATTTTCTTTATCTTTACTAATATCAATCAAAATTATTATTACCTCTGTCTAATATTAGGATATATTTATCTTACCCTAAATGATAGTTTGATTAGATGGTTACTGCAGCAGTATAATGCAGTCTATTATCAACTATAATTACCCTAAAGATATCTTGAAAGTATTATCTAATCTACTAATTATTGATTAATCACTTCTTTACTTGTATAAGGATCTCTGAATTTGAAGATGTAAGGTAGTATCTATTACAGACCTATTAGAGAAAGTCAAGTTTCTGTCAATCTCTAGATTTATTTGCATCTACTTGTTTTACAAGTTTTAGTATTTAGACATGATCAATAATCAATCGACAGATTAATCGATAGTTACTAATGCATATTAATATACAAAGGGTGGACAAAAGTATCCGCACACTTTTTCACTCAATATAAAACTTATAATTTTTTTGCATTAACAATAAACGGTCAA